CACGCACACGCACACGCACACGCACACGCACACGCACACGCACACGCACACGCACACGCACACGCACACGCACACGCACACGCACACACACGCACACGCACGCACGCGCACGCACACGCACGCACACGCACGCACGCACGCACGCACGCACGCACGCACGCACGCACACACGCACACACGCACCCACGCACACACACACACACACACACACACACACACTCACACACTCACACACACACACACTCACACACACACATTCACACACACACACATTCACACACACAAAAACACACACAGATAAAAAGATCCCGCATCTTTTCCTATATTTTCGGGGCTTCTGTCTTCCCGCCAAGTTCCCAGAGTTCCCTTTATTTTCTTGGGGACCGACGATGAATTGTGTTTTTTCAGGAAGGGAAAAAACACACAGACACAATTCATAGTCGATTCCCAGGACAAGATGGGAAAATATGGGAAGTGGGGAGGGAAGACAGAAACCCAGAACACATGGGAAAATATAGGGGAATCTTTTTGCTTGTGTGTATCTATTTGTGTGTCCTGGGGCCCCTTCATGCTTTTCCTCCCGAGCCTCGCGCTCGGCCCGCTCCAGCAGCGCCTCGCCCTCCTCCAACGACAGGCCGCCCGCGGCCGCCGGCCGCAGCAGCTGCTCGCACAGCGCGGCCAGGGCCCGCCGCTGGGGCTCCGGCGCCCCGACCTTCGGGTCGGGCTGGGGGGGAGCGGCACACGGCGTAAGCATTTTTGGTCCGCGGGTCGAGAGCGCACCTCTTCCGGTCGAAGCTAAGCGGGCCGCGCGGAGCTTGAATTAGTAGGTGGAGGGAGGGGGGGAGAAGGCGGCGGGGCCTCCGGGCGAGGCCGAGGCGAGGCCGCTGGGGCTCTGGCGCCCCGACCTTCGGTCAGGCCGGCGGGGGGAGCGACACGTGGCATACAGTCGGGGCGTTGGCCTAAGGAGCCCTAAGTAAGGAACGCGGCCCCTATTTTCCAGAAGTTGAACTTCGATTTCATATCGAAAACCTAAGGAACACCTGAGGCAAGCTGCGAAACAATTAAGGAACACGGAGCCCCTCCCCAACGAGAAGGGTTCCTTCTTCAAGGCCCCGAGTGTAAACATTTTTGATCCGCGGGTCGAGAGCGCACCTCTCCCGGTCGAAGCTGAGCGGGCCGCGCGAAGCCTGAATCAGGCGGATGGGAGGGGAGGAGATATCGGCGGGGCCTCAGGGCGAGGCCGAGGGGAGGCAGAGCCCCAGAGACGGGCGAGGCCGAAGCACATGACATAAACACATGGAGACCTCTCGGCGGTCCGCGCGGACTTCTCGGATCGGTGCCGGGGCCCCCGGGCGGCGCCGCCCGTGGCGCGCTCCGCGCGCCAGGGAGGGGGGTCTGGCGCGGGTCCAAGAGATCCGCGCGGGCCTCCGAGTTTTTTAGTTTACAGTCGGGGCCTTGACCAAAGGAACCCTAAATAAGGAACGAGGCCCCTTTTTTCCATAAGTTGAACTTGGATGTCCTATCGAAAACATGAGGAAAACCTGAGGCAAGCTGTGAAACAATCAAGGAACACGGAGCCCCTCCCCAACGAAAAGGGTTCCTTCTTCAGGGCCCCGACTGTACGTCGCTCTTCGTTCCCCTGCAGGTGTCTGGCGGATCCCTCGGCCGATCACGCCACCCGATCACGGGATCCGAGCGCGGCCCGAGGGGCGACGGCTGCCCTCGCCGGTCGCGGATCGATCCCGCAGTCCACCTCGGACAGCGCGGTCAGGCCGCATCCCACGCTCCCTGCGAACTGTGATCGCCGATCTTGGCGGCGCACACGAGGGGGGTAGGGGGAAGGGAAGGGAAGGCATCTTAGGAGGAGGAGGCCGCTTCTTGAAGGCACCTGCAGGCAAGGCCCCGCGCCCTCTGAGAAGCAGGGGTGCTTCTAAGAAGCCTTCCCCCCCCTCCTACATGCAGTAGGGGCCCGACCACAAGACACCTTCCACAAGAAACTCAATTCTGAGACCCCAGGTCGTCCATTGATTTTTGGTGTGGGATGGTCCTTCCATAGCAAAGCCACCGAAACCCAAGAAACCCAGGGCAGCCTGGAGGCAAGCAGGGTGCTTCTTGGCATGGGCCTCCACTGTTCGGGTCGGGCGAAAGGGGGGGATAACAAACGGGGGGGGTGAGAAACACCTCACGTAGCTGACTTTCCCAGCGCCTCCCGGCGCCGGATGCGGCGATGCATCGAGGAATGGGCCCCTCGGTGGGGACGAAGCCAGCTGCCTGCAGCAAATTTCGTACCCCCCCCCCCTTTCCCAATCCCCCCCTTTCGTCCGGCCCGAACTGTGCCCCCCTCTGCGCGTGGCCGCCGACCGCGTGGCTGGCCTTCGCTCGGACGTCCATTCCCTGTGTTTTTTTCGGTTTCGTGCGTGGTTTTTTCGCCAAATGATCCAGGATGCTCCTCGATGGCCCTCGCCGAAGGAAAAATGCACACGTCCGAGCGATGCCCAGCCCTCTGCGCGTGGCCGCCGACCGCGCGGCCGTCCGACGCCGAGGCCCCGACGGTGTCCAGCACCGCGCCCAGGCGGATCGCCGCCTGCTGCGCGCGCTGCGCCCGCGCGCCGGGGCTCTGGGCGCACGTGGCCTCCAGCTCGAGCAGCTTCCTCCGGCGGCTCACGGCGTGAGGGGGGAGGAGGAGGAGGAGGAGGAGGGGGAGGAGGAGGAGGAGGGGAGGAGGAGAGGAGGAGGAGGAGGAGGAGGAGGAAGTGAGGATGAGGAGGAGGAGGAGGAGGAGGAGGATCAGGAGGAGGAGGAGGAGGAGGAGGGAGGGGGAGGAGTCAGGAGAGGAGGAGGAGGAGGAGGAGGAGGAGGAGGAGGAGGAGGGAGAGGAGGAGGATGAGGAGGGCGGAGGAGGATGAGGAGGGGGCCCGTGGGACGGGGCCCCCGGAGGACGAGGGGCCGCAGGCGGCGCAGGTGCAGTCTGGGACGCCTCCCCCAGGGCTCGACCCAAAAGCAGGGCTGTCTTGCTCGTTCTCACCCTGTCTTCGCTCTTCCCCTCGCGGTGTCTTCTCCCTTCGCCGCAGGGCGAGGCCGAAGCGAAAGCGGCCCGCGAGTTCGCCCCAACACCGCTTAGGTCTACCCCTTGTCCTCAGGGCCCCCTCCCTCGGAACCCCCTCCTCCTCCTCCTCCTCCCTCCTCCTCTCCCCTCCTCCTCCTCCTCCTCCTCCTCCTCCTCCTGCTCCTCACTGCTCCTCCCCCTCCTCCTCCTGCTCCTTCCCCCTCCTCCTCCTCCTCCTCCTCCTCCTCCTACTCCTCCTCCTCCTCCTCCTCCTCCTCCTTCCTGCCTCCTCCTCCTCCTCCTCCTCCCTCCTCCTCCTCCTCCTCCTCCCAAAAAAAAAAAAAAAAATCCTCCTCCTCCTCCCTCCTTCCTCCTCCTCCTCCTCCTCCTCCCCCCCCTCCTCTTGGCACCGCCGACTCCTGCTCAGGCCCAGCGCCTCCCGCTGCTCGGGCTGCGCGCCGGCCCCCAGCGCGGCCTCGAGCGCCCCCCGCGCGCGCTCGGACTCTTCGAGCCTCGCCCGCAGCTCCTCCAGCATGGTCTCCGCCGTCGCCCCCCGCCGCCGACCTGCGGCGGTGGCGTGCAGGGCCGCCGCCTGGAGCCGACCGACACCGAGAGCTCCGGCGCGGTCGTCTCCGGTCGGCGGGGGCGACGGAGGGGAGGAAGGCCGTGCGGCCTCGTCGGCGTCGCTCAGGCCCTGGTCGAAAGCCTCCAGCTCCCTCACCGACTGCCGCAGCGCCCTCACGGAGTGGAACGTCAGCTCGTCGACGTCGTCGTCGTCGTCAGCGTCGTCTTCGTCGTCGTCCGTCGAGTCCACGATGCAGACCTTCTGTGCCTCCGTTTTGACGTCGCCGTCGCCGTCCAACTCGAGCACGGGGCTGCCTGGCGCCTGCTCCGACGGGCTGATTGGGGGGCTGCCTGGCGCCTGCTCCGACACGGAGTTGATGAACGCGTTGGTCCCAGACTTCTCTGACGCGAGGCCATCTAGAATGACGCCCTCAGAGAGTTTGGCATACGCTTTTTTGAGGTAAGCAAGCGTGGCACGGCACTCCAGAAGGCTGCCCTGATGCTGGGTCAGCTGGCGTTGCATACCGCGTTTATCCAACTCGGCCTTGTCAATATTCTCCTCCACCTTCCTCGCCATCTGCCTAATTTTCTCCTTGGCGGCATCCTGCGTCTTCTCGATCTTCAGGATCATCTGGGAGACCTTCTGAACCTGCTTCTCGACTTTTTTCACCTCCGACTCTTTCTCCTTTACGTCCTTACCAAGCTTTTTCTTGGCCACTTCAAACTCCTTCTTTCTTTTCGCCTCCTGCGTCTGGTGGGCTTTCTCGCTGTCGTGCACATTCTTTTCCAGGTCCTTGATCTTCTTCTGAGCCTCCTGCAGCTTCTCTGGCGGGGGACTGCTCGAAGCTGCGGGCCTGGCTTTGCCGCTCGCCGAGGAACTGGTCTGTAGAAGAACAGAAAGCGGCACAAACATAATCTTTCGGGGTTTCGCGTCGACGTCTTGGAACGAGGCTTGACTTCCCCTTCCCTGGCGAGCGGAGCGCACCAGGGGCAACGCTGCTGTGGTTGCGCCCTCAGGGGGGTCCAGTGGAGATCCAAGGCGCTCCGCGCGAAACCCTTCGAATGCTTATCTGGCATGAGAGGAGGGAGGAGGGGGGGGAGGAGGAGGAGGAGGAGGAGGAGGAGGAGGAGGAGGGGAGGATAGTGAGGAGAGGAGAGGAGGATGAGGAGGAAGAGGAGGAGGAGGAGGAGGAGGAGGGGAGAGGACGAGGAGGAGGATGAGAGGAGAGAGGAGGAGGAGAGAGGGAGGATGAGGAGGAGGAGAGGGGCTTCGGTGACGGGACCGGCGCAGAACAGGACGCGGAGCAACAAGCACCCCCTTGCGTCGTGACAAAAATCACGACGGTAGATTTTTCAATATTTTCAGACCCTGGGGCCCCTCACCGGGACTCGGGACCGTCAAAACATGACTTAGTATGAAGAACCGGTCCCGGGGAATGGGTCCGGACCTCTGGGGGGCGCGTCATGAAAAAATCATGACGTCGGGGGTCTGGGTTTGCGTCATGCCGACTCACGGTTATGCCACGTCCTCTTCTTCGAGTCTGCGGCCCAGTGGCCAGGCCCGCCTTGCCCGGCCGTGAGGTGCCGAGCTGTCCCCGCGCGTGGGCTGCGGGAATGTCTCCGCCATGGGCCCGCCCGGGCTTCATCCGCTCGCCCGCTGTGGTCATCGCCCGCCCGCATCGGCGCAAGGAATAAGGCGAAGGCAGGGTGAGGAACGATTCGATTGATGTTGCTGATGTTGATGTTGATGTTGTTGTTGCTGAAGATGATGATGACGATGATGGTGATGATGATGATGCTGATGATGATTGTGATGATGATGATGATGATGATGGTGATGATGATGATGATGATGATGATGATGATGATGATGATGATTATGATGATGATGATGATGATGATGATGATGATGATGGTGATGGTGATGGTGATGGTGATGGTGATGGTGATTGTGATGATCATGATGGTGATGATGATGCTGTTGTTGCTGCAGCTGATGATGATGGTGCGAATCGAGCCTGCTCCCGCTGGCGAAGGCGGGCCCTTCCTGGAGGATCCTATATGGGCGACGAAACTAAGCGGGCCTTGCCAATGATGGCATAACGACCTTACGCGGTGGCCTACGCGGGTCGACAGCGCGACGCGCTGCACGGGAAGCGAGGGCGCTTAGGTTCGCGCGACCTTACGCGGGCGACTTGCGCGAGCTTCCCGCGGGCCTGCCGGAATGAAGGCAGCCGCCGGCGGGTGGGGCGGGACAGAACGCCACACCGCGAATGACTCACACCCGGCCACCCCCTGCGAGGACCATCATAGGCTTCGCCAGTGAGGACCGCCATGAGGCCTCACACCCCTCGCAGTTTCCATCATGCGAGGGTCGAACAACATCCCCACGAACCTGGCACGGTACGTGCAGTGCCAGGGGTGGCGGCCCGTCTTCCCATCCCGCCACCAAGAGGGGGATGCGAAGTCCCTGAAGACGGGGCGTGGTGGGCACGAGTGGGCATCATAGCCGGCTCAAAACCACAAGAGGCATCAGAGCTTCTGACATCCCAATTGCCAACTCATGCGTTGCAGCATGCTCTCCCCTCTCCTTGCCGTCTCTCTCTGGCCGGATCGGCGTGCGACAGACCCGGGGGCCCGACGTCGGGCGTGAACACGCCAACGTGTTGTCTGGGGGGGGGCGTCCGTGCTGCGGGTCGTCGGCCCCCCATCCTCTTGGCCGGCGTTCAGCTTCGCCGCTGCGGCCGCAGGCGGGCGCGTCGCGGGAGGGGATGTATTCCCGCGCATCCGGCGTCTCGAGGAAGAATCGAGGCCAGGAAGTCAGGACCAAGATCTGCACGAATACGCGTGCTCCCCGCCCCTATCCCCCAGCCCCCTCACAGGGCCCCACGCCTCCGATTCGGGACCAGCGGGGAGAGGCAGTGCGACGGACAGGCGGCGCCACGTTCTCGAGCTCCCTCGCCGACCAGGGGCGGGGCAAGGGGGTCCCCCTGTGCGGCGGACCTGGCCGCGGCGGGCCAGGCGGTCGCTCGAGGCAGGGTGGCTGCGGACCGTCTCGCTGGCCGTCGCAGTTCCAAGTCCTCGCGCTCCGCGCCGTCGTCCTTGTCCTCTCCCTCCTCGCAGGCCCTCCTCCTCCTCCTCCTCCTCCTCTTCCTCCTCCTCCTCCTCCTCCTCCTCCAACTCCTCCTCCTCCTCCTCCTCCTCCTCCTCCTCCTCCTTCTCGGAATGCCTTCAATAGGATTACCCGTCCAGCTATAGGACCATCCATAGGGCCAACAGAAGGCCACATCAACGGTTTTGAAGGGCCAGATACGGCCCAGGACGGCCCCAAGAGAGCCCCAAGCTGGCCAAAGAGGGAACTTGGAGGAAGGGCTTACTGCAACATCATTGATGCGTCTTGGGTTTACACTGATCCTTCTCCTCAGACTCCTCATCCTTCTCCCCCTCCTCCTCCTCATCCTTCTCATCCTCTGAAGGGGCCGTGGGACCCCCAAATAAATACACACAATAACAGGACTCCCTATCTTTTCCAATCTTTTCTGGGTTGCTGTCTTTCCCCTCACTGCCCATACTTTCCCATATTTTCCTGGGGGTCGACAATTACTTGTGTCTGTGTATTTTTTCCCCTCCTGATCCTCCTCCTCCTCCTCCTCCTCCTCATCAGCATCACGGTTCTCCTAAGCCAGAACGACCCGAAGTGACGGTTTCTCGTGCCCTCTCGCACAATCGCCACCAATAATGACTGGTTGGCACGGTGGCGAGAGCTGCCGCAGGCAACTGGACAATCATCCTTGCAATCGCTGGCAGCGCCATCTTCTTCAATTTCGAATTTTGAAGTTCACCCCTACTGACTACCTACCAAGACACCCCAACCCAACCCGAAGACCCGAATTTCGGGTTGGGGGGGTAAGGGTTCCATATGTGTTTTTTCGATGTTTCCCGACCCCCCCCCCCACTAGAAATCGAGGGTAAATCTGAGCCTTCGGGTTGGGTTGGGGTGGTTTGGTGGGTGGTGACCTACGTACTGGGAGGACACAGCTGCCGAGGCACCGCTCGCTCGCTCGCTCCTCCTTCTCCTCCTCCTCCTCCTCCTCCTTCCCCTTTTGGCGGCGTGCGCAAGGGGATGGCGCGAAGCTTCTAAAACACCTGGAGGATTTCCAAGAAGGCACGGGGGCTTCCTCAGAAGCCCTCCCGGCTTCCAAGAAACCTCCTCGATGAGCTCAGGGCCCCGCATTCTCAAAGACTCCCCCCCCGCCTTCTCCGGAGGACTAACACAGTGCATAAACACAAATGATCGGAGGTCCGCGCGGATGTCTTGGCTCGGCGCTGGACCATGGCGCGCGGAGCGCGCCGGGGGCGGCGCCGGGGGCGCCGCCAGGGGGCCCCAACGCCGACCCACGAAATCCGCGCGGACCTCAGAAAGATTGTGTGGTGCGCCGTTTTTAGATCCTCGGTTCTCGGGAGGCCGCCCCTGGCAGCCACCCTCGTGCGCGCCGCCAGCCCCTTCCTGATCGAGACGCGTAGGTCGTGGAAGTGTCGCGATTCCCGTTTAGAGAGATCTGTCTGACATGCAGCACATAGATCGGTTGTTGTGTTTCACCGTTTAACCAAATGGGTTCTGCGCTTACATGGTTTTCCGTCTTGTTTCCAATAGCTAAAATGATTTAGTACACCTGGTTCTCGCTTTTCTGAAACGCAACATGTGACACAGACCTGTTCCTAACGTACGCGTTCATCCACTACCACTACAGCCGAACACATGATCAAGGCATCTATCATTCAAGCAACCCGTGCCAAACCCGGGCCAACGTCTGTTGCTTGACGTTACAGGGGCGACTAGGCTCAGGAAGCCGGGCCAATCTTCCGGACGACTGGCTACGGAACGCTGGCCCAGCTTTCCGTGAGGAGGCTTCTTGACCTGATGCTCCACAGCTGGCCGTCGCTCGGACGTCCATTCCCTGTGTTTTTTTTCGGTTTCGTGCGTGGCTTTTTCGCGAAATGATCAAGGATGCTCCTCGATTGTCCTCGTCGAAGGAAAAATGCACACGTCCGAGCGATGCCAAGACAGTGGTCTCCCCCTCTCCCTCCGCCTCCCTCCGCGCGCCGCGCTGCCGCCCCGCCCCCGCCCCGGCGGAGAGCTGGCTGGCTGGAGCGCTCGGCCCGCCCAGGGGGGGCCTGGCGCCGACCCGAGAAAGCCGCGCGGAACTCCGACAAATCATGTTTCCGCAATGCTGCGTCCCTCGGCAATGTTCCTGCCTGACTGTGGAGCCGGCGGGTGCGGGGCCGATTTGGTGAGGCGGCCCTCTTCGTCCGCGAGTGTCCTCGACGATACCAGGGGACGATCCTCGACCCGAGAGCTCGAGGATCGAGGGTTCGCCATCAAATCCTCGGGCGAACCCTCGACCCGAATACAGCAAAGTTCTCGGGTCGAATACGACACGTTCGTGTCGTGACGACCCTGGCGTTAGTTCCTGACACCCCGTGAATCGTGCAACATTCAACAATCGCCGGCCTTTCGATCGCCAGCTCGTTCCATGTTGGCCTATTCCGGACCACTGGCGGCGTTAAGCTTTGAAAGGCTCGCGGCGGGGTCGCCACCGCGTCGAGACGACGCGAGCCTGCCGCACAGTGGGGACGAGGCCGCAAGAACACCCCGCAAGAAACCCAGCCCTGAAAACCCAACCAGCTTCTTGCCCAGGGCCTGGGTTTCTTGGCCGATGGCCCCGATCGGAGAGACACCCGGGGTACCCTTGGGCGCAGCACTTCCTTGACGCTCGGGGTGCGAATGTCACCGCGATGCACTGGCAACGAAGAACCCCCGGGCACCCTGACGCAAACCACACGGCCTCAAGGTGCGCGTGCACACGTAGCCCTTAGGTCGGGCATGTCCTCCTACCAGGCGGACTTGGGAAGAAGACGATACCCCTAACATGTTCAAGCAGAATCCGAAATAG